ACTAGTGTACATGTTGCTCGAAATCGAGCAATTGCAAAGAAGTACAGGAGTTATTTATAAACAAATTACTTGTTTAAAAACTAATAACAGTAATAATTTCCAATGATTTTAAAAGAGTCAACTAAAAGATTATTAACCAATGGAAATACTCACACTTTACATAACAGTCCTATTCCAGTTCAAAGGGTGAATTTTTAACAATCAAACTGCCCATGGACGGGAAAAGGTGAGCTTACAATTTATGTCAACGTAAAAAGGCTGTCAGCTTTTATAAAGTACCGTACCTAAGTTATTTAGCCAATTTGTAGACAATAAGGTGTAGGCTACTTTAAACTCTACAGGACAGAGTTAGGCAAAAACTGGCAAAACTCTGAAATGGTGTTATTTATCATAGGCTTACACATATGCCAAATCCTTAAAATAAAAATTTAATAACTAACTTATATCATTAAACACAAACCAACATCCAAAACTATACACATTTTTAATACAACATAGATAATTTACACATTGACTGTTTACAATTAACATGTTCTTCTTCTAACTATTAATTTTTGCTTCGCAACCGGAAAATCTGTTTCATAATCATTGAAATAGATTTATAATAAATAATCAATCATAAAATTTAAGATTAAATAAACCTACCACATAGTTGTTTTATTTTTTTTATCAGCTGTCTGAAATTGTGAAATAGGCATCTGACAGTTCTGGTTGTTTACATTTAAATGTCAAAGCAAGTGTAAACATTGTGAATTTTATCATGCTTCCATGGAGACCAATTATGAATATTTAATTTCTGACAACAGCTGGAGTTTCAAAACAATTTTTGTTTCCCATGTTAATCTTATGGAGAAATACGAAACTTTAAAGGGCCCCAGGGCCTCATTCTCTAATTATTTCCCTAAAAAGAAAGTTTCCTGCACAACTTCACGTTACGCTTTATCCAATGACACCAAAAACATGTCAATCGGTTCAGTAGTTTCGGAGGAGTAATTGTCACAAAAATCCTGCTTGCGTATTAAATAAGTACGAGAGCACGCCCCGTGGTCGAAAAATCGACCAAAAGTATGTTTTGTGCAAACTTCTCTATTTTCACCCCACACTGTTAAATAAAACATGTTATTGGAATGTCTTCCATTTGTTTTGATTTTCTGTTTATATTTTGTTGTTATTTCGTCATCACCATAGCAACCCATAAAACCCATGTTAATTTTTTAAAATTTCAAATTCATTTTTGGTGCTTATTCTTGTGCCTATTTTAGTTTATAAAGGGATTCTGCACACCTACAGGAAAAAAGCTTTCTAACGGTATGCGTAGATTTTCCGTACGATACACACGAGCTGAGAAAAAAGGTTTTAAAGAAACATGCTTGCCTATTAATATATAGATAGATTAAGATTCACTGTACACTTTTTGATAAAAGAAGAATATGTGTGCGCATAATTGGCGGTAATCTTTTTTCAGTAAACGCGTATCATTAAATTATCTAAAACAGAAATCTTTAACTAACAGTAAACCACTACAACTCAAACTCGACAACATGAGGTTTACTTCTCGGTAATACCTCCATAGTTAAGGTTATCAAAACTTTACCATGTGGATATGTTGAATAACAACAACTGTTTATTGATTATGGTAAACATGTCCGTATATTTTTTTTTTTACATTTCGTAAATTGATTTCCTTATGTCATGAAGGAATACATAACTTCCTAACATCAGCTATCAACAAGGTTAGTTAGCTCTTAGATTTCGTTTGAAGGTAAACTCTAATAATTAGGATATCCAACTAACTAAAGTTGACAACAATAATAAAGCTTTGAACTAATTACAGCTTATGGGATGAGTTATGACACTAACCTAAGACATAAGGCAGTTGTTCTTTCTGTACTAAGACAGAGATGGATGTAGTTTATTATAAAAAACTAAGGGCCCATAGCAACAATTAATTGCTGTCTTTCACCTCCGTTGTAATATGGCCTTAACCATTCCCTATGTTGTGCACCATTTCCAAATACTCTCCTGTGTAGTCACGGCTTTCCCCTGATACGAAACTTCATTACCATTCTAACCTAAAAAATAACACTAAAATCAATAAACAAACAAATACGCAATGTTTAAATCAGATAGTATATTTAATAGAGCTTATAGAAACACTGTAAAACACTTAGAAAATGACTGGATATTTGACGGCCTGTGAGGCAGAGCAGGGGTAATTTTTGACACTTCTGATATTTTCCACACCGTCCTTGGATCTTAAGGGGAGTCCGAGGTCCTATCTTTAGTAATGTTAACTAAATGTCACTATATAAAGTCCATTTGAAATATCAAATCTTTATTGTAATAACTTTCTAACCAACCGATCTTGGGCATGAATTATTTTCCACATCTAAAATATGTTTGAAAAAGACTCATATATGTAAATGAATATGGAAAATAAATACACATAAATGCTATCTATAGACCTTCAAAGGAATATTTATGAAAGAAGGGATGCGTTTCCATACAAAGGGCCCAAGTACATTGTGGACACGAAACGGATAATATCACATGTAGCTTTTACAAAACAGCCACTGCGATATCTAACGGGAGATCTGCCAACAATAAAGGATAAATTTTCCTAAAAGCTTTTATATTTGGAAACATGACCATACACATGGTTTCTTTGTGAAATATGAGTACCATAGTGTTTTCATACGATCAAAAAAACTCGGCATTGAGAATGTTTGCATAAAACATTGCTTTGATAATTTAACATTAATATCAGAATTTGATAATCGGGATTAACAACTCACATTTTCATGGAATTTGTTTGGGGTTTTAATCTTTCATTTTATTAAAAATCTTATACTGGCGATAGTTAACCAAATAAGCCCAAATACTGTAAAACTATTTTGATAAGGTGTTACTTGTTCTTTTGGAACAAAATTAATATGTGTATTATAAAGTCTAAAGTATTGATTTTTCCCTCTATTCCTCAGAAGTACAATATACGTCTAGTGATAAAAAAAAAACATGTCTTAAGCTCTCAAAGAGGTTGTAATACAACAGGTTATAAACTGTAGGTGTTCTAACTTAACTTCAAGTTATCCTCGTTCATTCCAATTCATTCCCAATATATATTTTTTAATTCATATCCAAGCAGCCTCAACCGAGTTTTGTTTTGATAGGGATATAATATGTGTTTTTTAAACTGCTTTTGACTTTCGTGGGTAGATGGAGTGTTCGTTAATGTTTTGGTAATCAATACAAAACTATTGGTAATGAAGCAATCATGAATGAACGATCTATACGGTTCTTTCTGCATAATCATTGCTTACCTAATTGTTTATGTCTTTGCTTATAAAGTGGGAAAATATATGATTAGTTTTGTTTATTCACCCAAATAATATTATTGATATTCAAATGGTTAGTGCTAATGCTAATGAGAATGCTAAGGGTGAGTTTCTACTGACCGTGTTAACTTCGCCAGTGGGTTCTACTCACTAAAAGGAACAAAAAAGTTCCTATAAACCCATGTCCGATTTTCGACCGTTTGGCTGTTTTGGGGGATTTTGTGTTTTTCTTATTTTATTAGACTTTGCTCCACAATTTATGTAATAAAAACTTAACCAATTACTTTAGAGAGTTATAGTTAAAATCATTGGAAAGAACATTAAATTTGCTATAAATCAAAGGTTTCATTCAACAATTATACCATTACATAGTCCACGTTATAACCAAAATAAAGTAAAAATGTCATTAAATTAATTAATTACGATAATTTTCATGGGCCTCCTTTGATACATAAATCTGCATTTATGCAATGTTGAAATGCATAAAAAACTTGGCATTTTAATAATCTTTCAAATGATATGCTATTCAATACTATTATTGATATAAACCAGTGAGAAATTACTAATAAACTGCAATAAAACACGGTTTACAGATTTTTTTTGCACAGTTTTACTGTTAATAATAATTACTGTGTACTCCATGATGTATTTTATTGAACTATCTGATAAAAGTTGTACATTATTTTAACTTTTAAATATTTATTAAAATTATCTGAATTAATAAAATGTATAAACTCAAGGTTTTTCACATTTTCAAAGATGTAGTGTGTTTGATTCTTAAATGCTGTGTAATTAGTTTTACCTTGTGCTTGATTAAGTCAGCTTTTATTGATTTGTCATCTATAGCTAGATAACTCAGCTGCTTGAACATACCTTATTGAGTAATTTGCTGTTTTAACTTTATATTTCCAAGTCAATTAAGAGTTTTTCAACATTTATTAAAATATGGAGCCTTTTACCAATCAAGATTATGCCAACATGATGAATACAGTAATTATTATTAACAGTAAAACTGTGCAAAAACAAAATCTGTAAACCGTGTTTTATTGTAGTTTATTAGTAATTTCTCACTGGTTTATATCAATAATAGTATTGAATAGCATATCATTTGAAAGATTATTAAAATGCTAAGTTTTTTATGCATTTCAACATTGCATAAATGCAGGTTTATGTATCAAAGGAGGTCCATGAAAATTATCGTAATTAATTAATTTAATGACATTTTTACTTTATTTTGGTTATAACGTGGACTATGTAATGGTATAATTGTTGAATGAAACCTTTGATTTATAGCAAATTTAATGTTCTTTCCAATGATTTTATCTATAACTCTCTAAAGTAATTGGTTAAGTTTTTATTACATAAATTGTGGAGCAAAGTCTAATAAAATAAGAAAAACACAAAATCCCCCAAAACAGCCAAACGGACGAAAATCGGACATGGGTTTATAGGAACTTTTTTGTTCCTTTTAGTGAGTAGAACCCACTGGCGAAGTTAACACGGTCAGTAGAAACTCACCCTGTATAGCAGTATGAAATTCCATATGAAAATTGAAGAGCTTATTTACCCAGCTGATGAATATTGAATGACTAGTTTGTTCTCTATTTCAATAATATTATGTTTACATTGATTTTGATCATAACAGAAGCGTGAAGTTTGTTAAAATATTTGTAATACCATCCATGATTTTACTATTGCCTATCTGAAATGGAAACCTATTTTGGATCGTTAATTGTATTATTGTTTTTGAGGATACCACTTATCTACACAAATATTACGGACTCTAACGTAGTTACCCATGAGAAGCATAGCACAACTCTACAGATCAGTACACCTGCATCAAGTGACTCAGTCACAAAGAAATGTGACTACCCACCATGTAAAAATGGAGTGGAACATACCATGTGCTTATATCCGGAGACTATGGACAAAACAGCGCCCAAGTGTTCGTCTGTGGAAGCAAAATTCGGCGTAACCGACGAACACAGAAAGGTCATTCTTGAAAGTCACAATTTAATAAGGCAAAAGATTGCTCGGGGGAAGGAGAAAGGACAACCGGGAGCGGCAGATATGATGAAACTGAAATGGGACATGGAGCTTGAGAATATCGCGCAGAGGTTGGTCAATAATTGTGAAAAGTCCAACTACAATGATGATGAGTGTAGGAACCTCAAGGATGGAACTGAGGTTGGTCAAAACAGTATCAAGGTACTGGACGAGGGAGCTAATGCAACCAAGCTGTTTTTAAAAATAGTGATATTTTGGTACAAGAAGGTGAGCGAGGTGACACCAGAGACTGTACGGAAATACAACGTCGACCCGAGGGTAGAGACATACACTCAGTTGGTGTGGGCGAAGACAGACCGTGTGGGATGTGGATACGTAGAGCAGAACAAGATAGACGATGACTACCAACCGGTGCTAATGGCATGTAACTACGCAATTGCCGGGAACACGCCGGGCCAACCAGTATATTTGGAGGGAGATTACTGTACCAGGTGTCCTGAAGGAACCAGCTGTAGCTTTCAATACCCGGGCTTGTGTACTTCGGAGGTTGATGACTTTGGAGGAATCCTAGTCAGTAACAAAAGAAACACCTTTGTAGCTTTGGTGATTTGGAAACTTGCTGTAGGACATGTTTTGATTGTTTAGGGAAATCTTGGTTTTATTGTATGGATAGATTGCGTACTGTAAGATTAAAGACATATATGGTGTTTTGTATAATGTTACCTATGTGATTGGCAGTGTAAAGATGTACAGCCTAAATTCCAATCCATATTAACCTAATACAATACGAAACTATACAAATATATTGGAATACACCACTTATAACAGCACACTCGGAAATGTACATTCTGTAGCCTAGACATTCACAGAATGGTAAATATCAAAGATAAGCTACAATTGTGATTGACTTCGATAGTCACACCAGTTATCAGTCTCCGATTTATTATCTTTGATTAGGGCCAATGACAGCGTTACTGGTCGAATCCGATCCATATTCTAACATAATTTAAATATATTCACCATCACATCAATATTTACCGTATTTTTAACGGTTTGGGAGAACTATTTCATTATACAGTATCCGTATTATCCCTGAAAAAAGGAATAGCCTACCAATTTATAAATTTAAAACGAAAAAAAAAAACAACGGAACGGAGTGTAAACAAGTTTTACTGTTTTCAGGACCAAAAAATACAACGACGAAATTTCATATCGGCAAGTTTTATCGGCTACTTTTATGTTCACAAACACCCATAAAACCTCGCGCCACTTCTCCAATTCCCGATGATGTCTGTGGGGAGGCTGTGTTGTGTGAGGGGGGGGGGAGGCGGACAAGGTCACGTGATGTTTTATTTATGATTCCCTCGCTTTGTATCTTAATCAAAACCTCCCTCGTGAGCTACAGAGCGGATGGGGAAGACGCGCGGGAAATATATAGTGTTGAACTTTATTGCGGGGTAACTGCTTAAGTTGTCTTGGGAAAATATACTGTTTTTCTACCTAAAAGTATGCTTACTTTTTACCATGAAAAAAGCGCAATTGTTATCGATTGAATGTTTACAATACTTACAGTAGTATTTTAAACAAAGTGCATTTATTTTGTCAAGGTAGATGATACATTATAAACACAGCCTATAACTAGTTTCTTAATGATATATTACTGCAGAGGAAAATCTGTTGTAATATTAATTAGTAGATGAAAACTTACACTGGAAGGTATCTACATTCCAAGTGTCTTATGATATGGCCTACTCAACAGCTATACCACTAAAGATAATACCATGTAATATTTTTTTAATTAAAGTAAATCGTTTGGCTCATGCTTTTGAATCTTGTTTTTGAATTAGTCACGCCATACTTTCACTATATTATTATTACTGATTGAGCTGGGTACGTTACCTAGGAGTCCGTATTTTTACGCAAATGTGAAAGATGGGTGTAGAATAAAGAGGGATGCTTTGTGTAGCTTTGTTACTAAATAATATCAGCTGTTCCATTATCCAGGACCATCTAACAAAAGCATAGTTCAAGGACATCTGGGTACAATTTTTAGCCATCAAAAAGCTACTGACTTTTCTCAGAATTGAATAGACAACCCTTTGATTACCATGTGATCACTATAACTCAGCTACCCAGCTGTACCCAACTGCACTACACCATCTGGTTTCTAGTTTGTTGTCGACAAGATAACAACCACAATCAGAGAGTATAAAGGAAGAGAGTATAACATGTGATGGGGACATGGCGAGTGAGATGGTTTAGTTTAGAGCGTGGGGCTTTGGTTAACAGGTTCCCTGTTTCGAGTCCGGCCAATCATCAACGGCTATGTATGCGACCCTATTATCTTTATGTTCATATAATCGTAAATGTGAAAGTAGGGCATGAATTTGAGAAGCTTACATATAATTAAAAAAATAAATTAAAATGAGTTGATTATGGATAAGATCCATGAAGGCCTTGCAGTTACATCTTGAAGCGATAATTAAGACAACAAACAGGAAGGATGAATCTCGTTAGCTCTATATCAACATCTACAAGTAAGTGACAAGCTTTTTTTGGTGTGAGATGTCTATCGGTCTTTAGGGAGCGATCGGTAAGGCTGTCAAAGACACGCTTTCTACGTCGAGGGGCTACACTTTTTACGTCTGAAAATTTTAATCTCTGTTCATATTGTATTTTTTTAAATTTGAATAAGAATAATGCATAGTTTATTTTAATATTTGTCGTGATAAGATAAGTAAGTCATTGGTTAAAACTTTGATATATATATTAAAAAGAACATCTCTGCTGAGTGACTGATTTTGACTTATTCAAAAAGACTGTTTTGTTATCTATAATATTAAAAAATGATTGAAGTTTCTTATTTCACGATTCTGAGTCAACCACTTGACGGATTTTCATGGTTTTTGTGTTTGAAAGAAAGATAATTTTGAGAACTAGGGAATGTCGAAGCCATAATTTTAGTTTAGGGTTTCAGTTGTTTGGAAATTAAGTTAAGAAGTCTAGCAGCCGACGCTAACATTCTACTCCTAGCTTTTGGTATAATACAATTTGCTTAACGTAACAGCTCTAAACATTCCGCGTTTTTGGACACAAATTCAGCTTTTGGATGAAAATGAAATGACATACGTAGAATTGACTTATTTATACTATTAGTAATTCTATAACCATTGATACGGTTATCTAATCGGTAAGAGGATGAGAGTTTTTAAATATACATAGTAAAATCATAGATAAAACATACTCCCTTAGTAGATTTCTCATCCTTATGGAACAGCTGAAGACAATTTTATTGTTAGTTCTGTACGGTTTATGTAGAGGTCGTGTTTTGTTTAAAATTTGTTTCCCGTTATTACAGCCATTTAAAACCTCGTTTAACCAAATAATACGATCTAATCATAAACAATAACTTGTCCCCTAGTTATATAACCAAACAGTAAAGCACAAATCAATAAATTAACCCTAAAATAATAGAAACAAAGTTTCGTTGACACTAGCGCCCAGTGTCTCGTACATGAACTAGACACGAAAAACGTGCTTTAAAATTTACAATGGGATGAGAAGTCTAGTAAAATAATAGATGTTCTAATTTATTTTTTTGACCAGTCTTTAAAATATTTAGTTTGTTTTAGTGAAATATAATTTGTTATAACTAACAGCTGGTTGAATAAAAAGTTTAGTTTTTAGTGTAGTTTAGTAGTTTAGTTAGGTCATAGACTAACGAGTATGTTTTATCTATGGTTAGGTTTAGTTTGTTGTTTGGATTTATAAGAACACAGCCTCATTTTTGTGTTGAATTAAATCCTACATTTTGTCATTCTTTGATCTCATTTCGCCCGAGATATCACATGTAAGTGAATCACGTACAGTGACGACTACAATAATTGGCGACCGTGACAGAACATTCAAGAAATGACAAAATTAGTTGGAGATTTGACAATAGAAATGCTGGTGGAACGTCTGAATCAAGGTGAGCAGATGGGGACGGGAGGCTGAGCCAAGTTTCGACCACGGGTAGGGTGAAATAACCAGTCGGTAGAGCTACGACCACCAGAGGATCCGGTCAGTATGGTACTAGCAAAGAATTTGGCACAGTTAGAAGCTCGATAAAAACAATTGGATACTCATTTGGCAGACATCGAAATAGTATATTACGTACCTAGGGCCGAAAACGATGTTTTGCCGGATCGAGATAGTTTTTAAGTTCGAGACGAAGTCGAGAACTTAAATCGATCGAGAGCTGCAAAACCATTTTCGGTCCGTGGTACAAACACTATTTTTCACCACACTACTTCTATTCACAATAATAATAATGAAAACTGATAGTCAACGCAACTTTAAGGTTATGTGAAGAAGTAATTTCAGGAATCAGCAAAAATAATAATAAACAGTTGCTAAAAAAAACAATAAACCAAAAAAACAATGAAAATAAAACAATTGTATTTCAATGCAATACTGTTTTTTAATTAAAATGCAAGCGGACAGCTGATTTTGCGGCCCCGGGATGTAAAAACCTGCTCGGTCCCCAGATTACGATGACAGCTGGCATGGCCAGCAAAACGTAACTTTCAGCCACCAATTAACGTATGTAATACATGTTGGACTTTCACTCATGATCTGTATATAAGCTAGCATGTGACTATTAATTTTATTTAAGTCATATGTTTATGTTTTTTTTTTATTTGATTATTGCCTTTGTGTTTTTCCTTGGTTCAATTAAACACTAGTTTTCTATTCTGTCTAAATTTCATTTGATATTCATGAGTTTTAGAGTCAATTCCACATTGTGCTCTCCCCTTTAATACAGCCAAAAACATCACAGTGTGGTGAAAATTAAATTGCATCATATATTTATAAGATTACGGAAAACCAATAAAAATTATAAATGCAACTTATTACTAACACCTATGAAACGGACAAATCGGATATCGAAATTAATAACAATGAAACCAAATTCAACAACCGGAAAAATATCTTGGAGTTAACTGAGGATTCGTCAGCCATCCTGGGAGGTATAGAGATCATACTTCGGACAGAGACTTTCGAGGACTTATATAACCACTTATATAGCCTTTTTGGGAGATACAGAAGATATCCTGGGACCAACAGAGAGGGCCAAGGACACACCAACCATCTTTGAGTATAAAGAAGAGAACCTACGACAGACAGAGACTTTCGAGGACTCATCGGTCATATCGGGAGGTACAAAAGAGATCTGGCGACAGACAGAGATGGTCGAGGACTCAGCCATCTCGGGTGATGAGGACGGGATCCTGCATCGGCCCGATTCTCCTGGGGTCGCTTCAACCACAACGGACACCGAGATCCCACCTGCGTTTAATGTTACGTCATGTGAATACTTCAAAGAGGCCAAGGATACAAAGAGGGGAGGGGGCCAAAAAGAGAGAAGACCTTTGCTTAAATCTGAGAAGTCGTAAGACGTTGCAGCATATCAAGACTGGTTGATATGCTGCGACGTCCCTTGGAGAGTAATGGTGAAGGTAGTGGACAAGTTAGGGAAAAAATAAGAAGAAATTATTTGGGACATGCAAGTAAAGAATGAAGAGTGGCAGCGAAAGAAAGGAAGACTTTTCAAGAGAAAGAAAACAAAAAGAAAAACCACACTTCCAAAGAATAAGAGGATCATGTACGAAAACGACTCTAGGTCCAGGTTTAAAACCTAGTTTTAAAATTTTCAAAA